TTACCTCCAACTTGAGGAGGGGTATTAACAACTCATAATTAAATAGTGTACATTACTAGTTTCAAGTTAGTTAGTTGTATTTCCATTTTATAGTTGCTTGTTGTGATGGTTAGTTACATAACAAACTAGTTGGTTAGTTAGTTATTATCTTCCACTTGCTTGATTCATTTAATCACATGTGTATATATACATCTCATAAGTGATGAATGAAAGTAATCAAAAACTTCCACATTTCAATCACAAAGCCTTGTATTGTTAGTCTTGGTTTTCATTCTCGTTCAGGGAAGTTTGCAGCTTCATCAATGGCTGCACACACTTCAGTTTGAAGGTGTCTTTACAGCTAATATGAAAATGAGATACTAGAAATGGCAAACCAGTCAACCGAAACCTTCTTAGAAGAAGAATGTGGATTATCAGACCACAATCCTCTGCTGTTGCAAGGCGCGTTGCATCTTTAAATTCCTCGACTCCTCACCTAAATGAACTGTTCTACCTTTGCAGCGTTGGACGTTGGTTATACATTGTTTCAGTTGATCCGTTATGATGAACTTTTCGCTTTCCTTTGGTTACACCTACATCCTCATACGCATGTATAATATATACATGTGCTAATTTGCATGCATACAGTTTTCCAGATAGTCGATTTTGGGACCTCTGTTTAAAGCATAAATGAGGTTAATATACTGTTGTAAGTTGTCATTTCAGAAATAAACTTTTGAAACATGCGACTATAGTTGTAAAAAAAATTATGTGTCTGAAGCTGGGTTTCGAAGGACAAACATCAAGTATGTATATCTTAAGTATGAATTATCAGTTTCATATATATGTTGGAAACTGAGAATAGTAACTTGTTTTCTTATTCCAATTAAGGTGCTCTCTTTTCTCCTTTGAGAAAAGTATATAGCCTAACATGACTTCATCTTGAACTCCAACTTCTTAAAGTCCAAATAAAGTGAAAACATTTGAATTTACGACCAAACGCCTACTAAACTCACTTTTCATTTTGAAATTTAAGATCCACTTATTTAAAGTTGCAACACTACAATCTTTTCGAACTTTCTCCAACAACATTACTTGTTCTAATCGAATCTTAAGATTCACTTCTTCAAACATTATAGACGATGTACAATAGGTTTCAAACACACTATTATACAACAACTAAGAAGCACTTTATCTAAAGGCCTAGAGTGGCTACCAGTAGTGGCCGTCTGGCCGAGTGAGACGGCCACTACTTTCGACCCCTAGCTTGGCATATTTTGGAAAAAAATGGTAATAGGTTAAATAAGGTGTGCCATGAAATTTTACTGTTTTATGTTAGCAAGTTGTATGAGTATTACAAATGTTTGGCCCTTCGAGTGTTGTCAATCAATTAACAAGTATGGAGTAACAATCTTTTTCATGTTTTTGGATAGAAAAGAGTAGTTTATAATGATTACTTGTTGAATGCTTTTTGTGGGCACATGCTGCCCATTTTAATAACACAAGGACTAAGATGAGGTAATTATTCCACTAGTTGAATGATGGGATATATTTGCCTTGTAGTTTGTACCTATTGGAGAGCATAGTTGTACTATTTCGATCAATTTATTCTATAGGCCTTGTCTTTTTTGACTTCTAGATTGTCTTTATTTCAGAGTGGAATAACTACTCTTTATCACTCTCATAATTGAATCAAAGCTGAAAACTTAATGTTTATATCGAATCAATGAACGTAAAATGGTGAGAATAAATATTTATCTTAAATCACATATTCAATATAGAATCTTGAAGGTCGTTGAGAGTGTATTTCATATTTTCTTTCTATGAATTATTCGATCTGACTTACTAATCGATTTCTACCCTATACGACAGATGGACTCGGAAACAAATAATTAGATGTTCAATGGTTGAAACAATGTACTTGTCTGCAGGAAAATGATGACATTTTTGAGATGAAACTTGACAATTTTGGGTTGGTACATTGTGCATACAGGCAAATGAGTAAGCAAATGAATTGAACAAGAAGCTATGTGAGGTGAAAATTTCATGTACACTAGAGCCATCCTTGCCCAAGGGAGTCAAGTGGCACCGCTTTGATGGAAAATTATATTTTATATAAAGGTTAAATTTTGGTTTAATAAATATATACACTATTATTGACAAAAGTTGATTGTTTAATTTTGTAGTTAAAGGGTTGTGAGAATTTATTGAGCTTGCGTGTTTAAGCCCTATTAATTTATAATTAATTTTTTATTATAATTATTGACGCCCCTTAATAAAAATTCTTACTCCACTCGACGTTACTGAGTGTGACAATGATTTGTTTTACAATTAGATCTTAAATATAAAACCAGCACAGGTTAGTATCTGTCCACTTGTCCAATGAAAAACAAGGTGAATAGCTGATTTATTTAGATATGGATTATATTATATTTTATACATAGAAGCTACGTACTATATAAAAAAATATTTGGATAAAATATAATCCAAAAAATTCAGAGACGGCGCCACTGAGGGATTTCTAAAGATGCTACTTTGGCTCCAAATTATTTATATTATATATTTATTAAATGTGGAAGTGACTGAATTTGTTTCATTTAAAATCATATTATCCAGGTTATCCGTTAACCCATTTGTACTTGCAGTGTATTAAATATAAAAAAATATACCGGGTGCTTTAATTTGGTAGAAAGTCATAAAGAAGGCATTGAATTAGCAAAATTAGAAGCTAGCATAAACTATACCTATTATCTTTCATTTGAGATCGATATCGTATAAC